CAGCCCTCTCCTCTCACGTGGATACTGATGAGGGACATTACTCCCATGACTCCTCCTCTGTTCTAATGTTTAGTTATGCCAGAGTGAATTGTTGTTACAAAAGGCGAATATCCCATACTACTAGCTAAGTATATACAAAAATAAATTACAAGTTTATGTAACAGCTTTGGATGAAATGCTTCAAGAAATAGTTTGTCAGAGATGTGTGACTGTATTAGCAGATTTAATTTTAGCCCTAGCCAAATAGATTCCTATAAAATGAGCAAAATCCTATCTTTACCGGTGTTTGTATATAACTGATGCAAAAAAAAGGATATGGAGGCTACCCTGGTGAGATTATTTTGCAATTATTATAGATGTCTGTATTAGAATATTTGTTAAAACTGTGATAGAACATATATGAAAAATTATGGTATCCTGAAAAATGTAGACTCTTCTTCTGTGGCATGGATTATGGCACATACTTGTGTCCACATGCTTAATATCTGAAAAATCACTGAAGTTTTGGGGCTGTGCTATTTGGAGCCCTGACCAGTGATCTGACTGCTTTGTGGGAATGCTGTGACAGTATGGGATGGAGGACAGGATTTAGAATTGGACAGATCTGTTTTTTATCACTTAGAAGTCCAAATCCTCTGTAGCTCAATTTCTTCATCTTTAAAGTGACAATATTTGAATAAAATCTTAAAAAAAATTTTTTTTTGTAGAAAAGGCCACCTAGGTGGCTCAGTGGGTTAAGCGTCTGCCTTCAGCTCAGGTCATGATCCTGGGGTCCTGGGATCGAGCCCCACATTGGGCTCCCTGCTCAGAGGGGAGTCTGCTTCTCCCTCTACCCTTCCACCTGCTCATGATCTCTCTCTCTCTCTCACTCTCTCAAATAAATAAATAAAATCTTAAAAAAATTTTTTTAATAAAAAAATAAAATTAGGATATATGAAACTTAAAGTTTGTGATAAGATATTCAAAATGTTTGGTACATAATAAATGTTCAGTAAATGGTAGCCATTATTCACTGTATTGGTGAAACAACACCAGCATCTGCACTCACATTTTTCAACATCCTGTCTGATAGCACTGATGAACTGTACATGCTCTTATTTAAAGCCAGGCCCTGTGATTGACAGCTGGATCTTACCCCTTCTTGCCTTTTCAAGAACGTTGTTCAAGAAGTTGCCTCTCTTCTAATCCACATCGCCAGCTACACCCACCTGCTGCGTCATCCACACAGGCATATGGACAACCTGATGTTTCTACCGGCTTACAGAGAGAACTCGCCCCTCGCCCCAAGTCCTTGCCAATTGCTACCCCACTTTGTTTTTATTTATTTATTCATTTGTCTGTTTGCTCTCCTTTGAAGGACAACTCTTTAAAAGAGCTGTCTACATTCACAGTTTCTAATTACTCTCTTATGTTCTCTTAAACTCATTCCAGACTGGCTTTTTCCATAACTGCTTCAGTAAAAATGTTCTTATTAATGTCATCAGTGAGCTGTATCCTGCCAAGTCCAGGGGTCAGTTCTCGGTTCTCCTCTTACTTGACCTATTACGAGTATTTGACATAGTTTGACCTCCTCCTCCAGGTAATTTTTCTTTTTTTAAACTTGGCTTCCTCCTACTCCTTTGGCTTCTCCCTCAAGCTCCCCAGCTCTTTTGTGAGTTCTAAATCTTCTCTCAGACCTCTTCCAGTTAGAGCACCATAGGACTCAATTCTTTGTTCTTGTTTCTGTCTGTCCTCACTCCCTGGATGGGTTCATCCACTCTTTTGAATGATGAATAAATTCCATTTATACATCAAAGGCTATCATTTATATATCTAGCCCAAACTTCCCTTCTAAATCCAGATTCAAATATCATGACCTCTAATATCCTCCCTAAGGTATCTCAAAGACATTTCAAATTTAGCACACTCAAAATTCAGCTCCTGATCTCCCCTCCAGGTCTTCTCTACCCTGAGCCTTCCCTATATCAGTTGATGGCAACACCATCCTTCCATTTGCTCAAGCCAAAATCCTTGGAGTCCTCTTTGACTCTTTGAAATCACATTCCAACTATCAAGAAATCTTATTGGCTGAGCCTACAGGAGATACAGAATCTAACCACTTCTGGTCAGTGCATTGCTACAACCCTTTCTTGCTTGGATTGTAACAAGAGCCCCTAACTGGTCTGTTTCTACCTATTGCTACCCTAAAGTTGGTTCTCACCACAGCAATCAAAGTGATTTTTTAAAAAAATATTTATTTATTTGAGAGAAAGAAAGAGACCGAGATAGCGACAGAGAGCATGAGTGGGAGGAGAGGGAGGAGAGGCTCCTGCTGATCAGGGAGCCCAACGTGGGGCTCGATTCTAAGACCCTAGGATCATGACCTGAGCCGAAGGCAGATGCTTAATGGACTGAGACATCCAGGTGCCCCCAACGTGACTTTTTTTTAAAGCCTTTTTTTTTAAACAGTTTTAGGTTCAGAGCAAAATTGAGAGGAAAGTATAGAGATTTCCCCTATGCTTCCTGACCCTACACGTGTACAGAGTGGTATATTTGTTACAATTGATAAATCTACATAGATATATCTTAATCATCCAAAGACCATAGTTTACACTGGGTTTACTCTTGGTGTTGTACCTTCTATGAGTTTGGACAAATGTACAATGACATACCTACCATTATACAGAGTATTTTCAGTGCCCTAAAAATCCTGTATTCCACCTTTTCATGCCTCCCCCTACAACCTCTGGCAACCACTAATCTTTTTGCTACCTTTTCCAGTGTGTCGTAATAGTTGAATTGTAGAGTATGTAGCCTTTTTGGATTGGCTTCTTTCATTTAATAATATACATTGAAGTTTCCTCCATGTCTTTTCATGGCTTGATAGATGGTTTCTTTTTACTACTGAATAATATTCCATTGTCCAATATACCACAGTTTATTTACCACCTACCAAAGAACATCCTGGTTGCTTCCAAGAAATCATTTGCACAATTTAGTCTTCATTTAAGTCCAAGGGAGACAGTGCTATGAAGAGTGTGACCCCACAGTGCTGAAAGGAGCTTTAACCAAACTTAAACCGGGATTACTGCTAAAATAGAAGATCACATTGGTAAAACAATAAAAAAAGTTTGAATTTTGTTTACAAGCCACTATTATCTATGTAGGTAGCATTGTAGTCTCAGAAATTTCAGTAAATGATAATCTTCATTTGGTCCAGTATAATATCTAGTTAGCATGTAGGTATTAGTGGAAAATAATCCATTTTGTTGTTGTTGTTGTTGTTTTGTTTTTTTAAAGATTTTATTTGTTTGACAGAGAGAGACACAGCGAGAGAGGGAACACAAGGAGAGGGAGTGGGAGAGGGAGAAGCAGGCCTCCCGCCGAGCAGGGAGCCCGATGCCAGGCTCGATCCCAGGTCCCTGGGATCATGACCTGAGCCGAAGGCAGACACTCAACGACTGAGCCACCCAGGTGCCCCGGTTTTTTTTTTTTAAATACATGGCAGCTACATAAATAGGGAAGATTTCTAGCCATGCGCAGATGGACTTTGTGTAATTTTAAGATGCCATAAATGAATATTAACTGATAAAAGAGCTCTGACATTTTAAAATATCTTCACATCTCCATGCCTCTGCTCATGCTGTTTGTCTTTCCTGGAATTTTCATCCCTTCCTTGTCAACTCTTACAAACTCCTCCTTATCCTTCAAAAGCCAGCCAGAGTCACATTTTCTCTCTGGCTTTTCTTGGCATGGTCTTCCTGCCAAGGGTTCTCCTCCTTAAGGTTAATTGATTAATTGCTTCCTCCTTTGTGTTCCCAAAGCATTTATCGCAGAGTGTGCATTTTATTTATGTACCTGCCTCTGAGTTGCAAGGGCACCTTCATCACCTTTGTTTCTCTAGTGACTGTCACAGTCCCTATCTCATAGTATCTGCTCAATAAAATGGATTTGAATTTGAAGCATTAGACCATTTTTACCTTCATCACTGATTCATCCAGCGAATATTTATTAAGAACTTTTAATATGCAAGGTGCTGTGTTATGGGCTCTCAAGTTACTAAAAAAAAGAGAATTGGATGCCCAACTTCTTAAAAACCTCAAATATAATAAGAAAAAACAAGTCCTGCATAAAAGTAACTGTAAGACATGGTTGTGTTATTTTCAAGGAGAGGTATGTGTAAGAACATGTGTGTAGGCCTCACGCTAGGGTTCAAGAATTTCTTCCTATTCACTAAGGAAATGTTCTTCCATAGCAAATGGTTAAAAAGCTGTGAATAGGGGCGCCTGGGTGGCTCAGTTGGTTAAGCGACTGCCTTCGGCTCAGGTCATGATCCTGGAGTCCCTGGATCGAGTCCCGCATCGGGCTCCCTGCTCGGCGGGGAGTCTGCTTCTCCCTCTGACCCTCCCCCCTCTCATGTGCTCTCTCTCCCTCTCTCATTCTATCTCAAATAAATAAATAAAATCTTTAAAAAAAAAGCTGTGATTAAAAACTGGTTCATTTGATGTCTCATAAAAGGTTAAATTCTCTGCTAGACCTAAAAATACATCTCTCTCCCTCACTTTGGTGTACTGTCCTACACTATTGGATTTAAAACACTGCTCAGGTTTGCTGCTACTTGCCAAACAGTCTACACTTAAAGTAGAGAAAGTTTCTTTTGGTGCCTTGAGGTATGAATTTTATGCATTCCTAATTTTTAGAAAACACCTCAAGTGGTAGATCCTTTATGTGTTGCTGCACGTTCATTCCTAATTCCCATTAAGAAATTGGCTCTAGAATGCTTTTGACAAAAGTTAACAGTAATGGCATAGAAATGAAAACCCCAAACCACATTTTAAGGACAATTTTTTAAAAATTTGGTGAGCATACTTCAATTACTCAACACTGAATTGTATTTAAGCCAGTAGCATTTTTTTTTTTAATGTAGATTGTCTTTTCCACATTATGATATAAGATGTAAGAGCTTGAGTGATTGCAGATGTTAACTGGTCATCACCAGCAATTTTTCTGTTTTCATTTAGACTTGGATTATCACTTGCATTTATCTTCAACTACTCCTATTTAATCCTCTGGTCAAAACTAAAGGGATCTGCAGGAACCGTGTAACTGATGATGTGAAAGACGTTACAAAATTGGTAAGTAAGGAATGCTTTCAATAGCTGTGGGGTTTTTTTTTCCTTGTGTTTTTTTGAGAAGATTTCATTTTTTTCTTGTCCCAAGTTAGTATTTTTCCAAGACAAAGAAAGAAATCAATGAGTTATTCTAAAGGGTGTATAGAGAGCAAGTAGGGAGATATTACGATGAAGGAGAATCTGTTGGTAAAATCGGTAATATCACTGCAGTGACTTTGTTTCTTTGCTCATTTTTTTTTTCTCGGTCACAGGCAGTGAAGGACACTGGAGAGTTCTCTGTGTGCTGATGTGGTAGCACTAGCTTGTTCCCCATTATCTCTGTAGTGGGTTTCTCAGTGTGTTTTTTTTCCCCTCCATGCCTTCCTTCTCTTCTCTAACAAGCCTAACAAAAAAACCTGAGATAGCCATTCTCCCGTTTCCAACAGCATGAAGACCCCGTCACATGTGGGTGGGTATGTGCTCCCTCTGGGAACATAGCTGGAGAAGTGATTTGTTACCCAAATGTTGAACAGACTCATCTCCCACATTTGTCACATTGGAACTCATCCCTCAGCAAAAGCCATTTTACACCAGTGCCCCTTGGTCATGGCTAGCTTCATGCCATGATTCTCTTAAAATGCATACCAAGGAGAGAGAGATAATACAGCATCTGGAATGCATTCTACCCAGCTCTCCTGATCTAGGGGAGATTTTACATGCCCATTTGAGCTACAGTGTGTGACTTCAGGATGAGCAAACTTTGAGAAGCATTTTTTGTAAGTGCCTGGTTCAAAATTGCCAAGTGGAATTCTGTAATTTGAAAATTGTCTAGAGAACAGATGATCCGAGCATAGGGAAGAAATAAGGGTCATGAAATGGAGAAAAGAAAGAAAATTATATTTGTTGAGATACTTGTTTTCCCTACTCTTGATATATATTTTCTGGTTTATGTTTTATTTGGGGTTTATAGCCAAATTTCAAAACAGAAGTTTAATTCTATGGTCAGAGTCTTTCTGGCTTAGCCTCAATGCAGTTAGTAACACACACACACACACACAGTTTATGTGGATTCCATAGAAGGATGTCTACAGGGTCCAGGTTTAAAAAGTATTCTCTGATCAGTAGCTGAAGATACATCAACATGTTTTATTTGAGGGGCTGGTGATCAAAGCAATGTGGCATTTGCCTGCTATGTGCCCATCTAGGTATTAAGGATGAGGTAAGGAAAGTTTTTGTTTTTTTTCAAAGATTTTATTTATTTATTTAAGAAGCAAACACAAGCACAGGGAGGGACAGAGGGAGGGGCAGAGAATCTCAAGCAGACTCCGCATTAAGCACAGAGCCCGATGCGGGGCTCAAAACCTGAGATCATGACCTGAGCTGAAACCAAGAGTCAGATGCTCAATCAACTGAGCCACCCAGTCACCCCTGTTTTGTTTTGTTTTTTTCAAAGACCATAAAGCATAGACCTCTTCCTCAAGTTGCTTATTAATCTGTGACCCAAGAAACTATACTAAAAAGAAAATATATGCTATATTATAAATTTTATATTGGTAAAAGGCACTCATTGGTAAAAAAAAGCTCATTCAGTGAATGAAGACCTAATGTGCTTCACTGTGGTAAACATCATGATCTCCTGTGGTGCTTATTAAAATTACAGGTGTCTGGACTGCACTCTAAGAAAAGGATACAATGATAGGTCTGAAGAAGGGCTCCGGACATCTCATTTTAAAGAAATTTCTGAAAGGAGATTTAAGAACTACTGCTCTAGATGGTCTGTTCAGTCAAAATTTGGAGACCAAAGTGTCTTGATCCTAATTTAGTCCCAATTCTTATTATGACTAGTTTTATCTATGTTACATAAATTTATATGGATGTCAGATTAACATGAGTCTCAAAAATATGATGCTTAAAGTAGTTCACAACTGGGAAATTACAGCTCTCATGGGGCTTGACTGTGGAGCTGAGGATGATCAGTGGAGATCTGCAGTGGTCCTAAGGAGCAAATATCAAATATATTGGCAGTGAATCATAGTTGGAAGATGATGGTATATTTGGCCACAGGCCAAACATATCCAAAATTAACATGGTATTTAAGAAAAATTACTTATATGCATTATTACTTGCTGAGTGTTTAAGGAAAACTACTTAATGAGCATTACTTCCTGTGAAATATCGAACCTGTTTTTTCAAGTGGTGTAAGTAGGTATTACAAGCACCTTCCAAGATTTTTCATCCTTGTCTTTGACCATCTGTTTATTTTCAGTCTGGTACCTATCTGCTGATACAATGAAAAATGGCAAGAAGCATCACTGAGAAAGAAGAGCCTGGAAAAGAGATATTTATTAATATTGACACTAAAAGATAAATCCTCACCCCAAGAAAGCAAATGTAAAATCATTAGACTGAAAAAAGAGGGTTTTTTTCTCCCTTCCAGCAAATGACTCAGGGAAATTTTTTAATTTCAAGAGTTGATCTAGTGAAATTAGTGTGTTTAATTTGGATTATTGAAAAAAAAATCAAGTTAGTAAAAATTGGACTCAGGGGTGACGGAGAGGCTCAGTCGGTTAGGTGTCCGACTCTTGTTTTCGGCTCAGGTCTTGATCTCAGAGTTGTGAGATCGAGTCCCATGTTGGGCTCTACACTGGGTGTGGATCCTGCTTAAGAGTCTCTCTCCGTCTCTCTATGCCTCCCCCCTTCTCTTTCTCTCTCCCCCCCAAAAAAAAAGATAGGACTCAGATTACTTCTAACTGACTAAAGACCTACATAATTCACAACCCATATTTCATAGAGTAGGAGATAGAAGAATAATCCCTGACCTCAAAATGTTCATGATCTAGTTTGGGAGATAAATTATCTCCATAAAAATATGAATGCATATCATTAATACCACAGTAACCACATACATGGATGCCATTTAAAAGATTTCATGTAGGACCAACCTGTGCTAATATATTGGTTAAGGAATGGATTTTGGAATTTGGTAGACCTGCATTTAAATCCCAGCTTTTTGACCTTAAATAACTACCTTTCTAAATCTGTTTCTACTTCTCAATTTTATCTTATAGATTAAATAAGAGAATGTATATGTAAATTTGTTTTTATCACAGTTATTGTCCTATAACTTCTTTGGGCCTCAGTTTCTTTATCAGTATTAAGATTAATAGTACTTCATAGAGTGATTATAAGGATTGAATCAGTAGAACAGTGTTAGGAACACAACAAGTGCCTGCTGAATATTAGCTATTAGAAGTGGTAGTAGTGATTGTGGGATCAGAGGATACTGGAGCTGAAAGGGAATTTAGAAACTGAGGGACGCCTGGGTGGCTCAGTCAGTTAAACCTCTGCCTTTGGCTCAGGTCATGATCCCAGGGTCCTGGGATCGAGCCCCATGTCAGGCTCCTTGCTCAGTGGGGAGCTTGCTTTTCCCTCTGCCTGCTGCTCCCCCTGTTTGTGCTCACTTGCTCTTGCACTCTCTCTCTCTGACAAAAATCTTTAAAAAAAAAAATAAATAAATAAATAAATAAGGAAACTGAGACGCAGGAATGGTGAAGCCCAGCTCTGGGTCCCGTTACCAGCACTGTGCCATCTACAACAGTAGTTTTCAAACTGGCTCCTAGCGTCCACACAGCCACTCTGCCTTCATTTGTGTATCTGGCTGTCCAAATAAGACTTGATGTGGAAAAAAGAATCGAGCTGAAAAAATGTTGGAAATCACTGCTATAAACCAGCATTTGTAGGATATCATTTGAGAATCATTCAATTACCACGTTTTAGGATACTTATGAAAAGTACCACTGCCAGGGCTCCCACTGCGGAAATAGAGTCTCAGCTTGTGAGGATGGGGTGTTTCCAACTAGCATCGTAGGTGATAGGGATTTGCATGGAAGTGCCAGAACTGCTTAGGCGATCATACTTCTAATGTTGGGGTTTTTTCATTTTGGGGGAAAAAAAAAAAAAAAAGAACAACAACAACAAAAAAGAACTTATTTTTTTTTTTAAATCTCTGAGTTATTATCAAAAAACAAATACCTTTGAAAACTAAAGACAGTTGTCCTGGTGGGTTTAATTGTTAGTATTAACAGGGGATGACTTATAAGGAAAAATAAAAAAGCAAAAAGCTTTCTCCTGTGTTATTTCTGAAAACCAGCGTTATACTAAGCTGCTGTACATGAGTGAGTTGGGATATTTAAATATAAGCAGAGATTTCCCCCCCTCGGTAGCAGTGATTCTTATGTGTTCTTATCCTTAGCCTAAAACTCATTAATTTGACTAATTCAGATAGCAACGTGAGGGACTTCAGAGTTATATAGATACAGAGAATCACGGCCTCTCTCTGAAGTACAGTGGGGCAATTCCATAATGATACTGGGTCAGGTTGCACCTGTTAGAATAATTCAGTAATGCCCTGCCTCAAGGAGGTTACATAGAACAAGAGGGATTTGCTTTACTGGCACAACCTTGGTACATTCGATTGGAGAGAAAAAAAGTAAGTTGACAGTACCACTTTTCTTACCTTGTGATCCCAGTAATCTCTTTGACTGAAATCATTTCTTTGCAGTCTCTACTGGTTCCTCCTCTGCATGAGGTGCAACTGGTACTGTGCCCACTGATCTGAAGTCTGTTTCCTTGGGATGGTTCTCATGTCACAGAAGCACATGATTTATGACCTTAAAAAAAAATGACAGTTTTTTTTAATCTTGGACACTTTGTGCTGCCCCTATAGTCCCCATGGTTTTCATTTGAAATCCTTCTGGCATGTTTGCTCAGCAGAATAGTTCATCTATTTACAGAACATTTTGCTTTATTTCTAAAAAATGTTGTAAGACTTGTTTTAAATGACAAACTCAGACCTACCTAAGGGAAGGGTCAAGTATATGGGAAGAGGATGAAACAAACTTTAAACATTTGTATCTCTGGGACAATTAGGCTGCAGCTTTTAACAGTTGTGTTCTAGAAGGAGGCATCCAAATATTGAAATAGTTCAAATTGGTTTCCTCTTTTGTTCTTCGTACTGTTCCCTT